TTTCTATACTTGGTAGTTGGACCACTTGATGTAAAAGATATGACTTCAAATATCCAAGAATAACTAATTTTGTATATAAAAGAGTTAAAGTATGTCCAAATATTACGTCTGTTATACATATATATCTATTGTTGTTTAATAATACTGATGTAGGATAAACCCAGAAATATGTCAATTTCCCATATATAATACTCGAACCTCTCGGTATCAGAGATATAATTCTTAGTGTGTGAATTTTTCTAATTTATGTGGCAAAAAACACAAAATATATAGAAATATCAGTCAGAATATGTGTAATTGTTGTTATTTAATATTGCCAATATATAACTATTCCAAAATATGATTGTCTTTCTATACTTGGTGGTTGGACCACTTGATGTAAAGATATGACTTCGAATATCCAAGAATAACTAATTTTGTATATAAAAGAGTTAAAATATGTCCAAATATTACGTCTGTTATGTATATCTATTGTTGTTTAATAATATTGATGTAAGATTAACCCAGAAATATGTCAGTTTCCCATATATAATACTCGAACCCCTCGGTATCAAAATATGATTCTTAGTGTGTGAAATTTTTACTAATTTTACGGCAAAAACATGAAATATGTATAAATATCAATTAGAATATGTGCAATTGCTGCTATTTAATATTAACAATGTATAACTATCTCAAAATATAATCGTCTTTAGGCACTTGATAGTGAGACCATTCAATATATAGGATATAGAAAACAATTTTCATTACTTCAAGGATATAAGAAAATAGAGAATATAAGACTTACTGCCAGTTGATCCAGATCCAGAGATCATTGATATGCAGCTTCTGCATCCTGTTGTTGGCCGTGAATCTATGAACAACAAAACCAAATGTTTAATTCGGAATTAACTGAGCAGTCATTTATTACCACAAAAATACGGCAATCAATAAAAATACCGTTTGACGAGCTTGTTGATGGTGGTGATCTGTCTAGAAAATCTCTTTTTTTATTTATTCTGAACTCATTATTGTGGTCAGACATCAGTGTGCTTTCATCATGAGAATCTTGAGATTGCTCACAAATGCTAGTCTCTTCCGCAACTTCAGGTAGCTCTAAATTGTTAGAAAACTTTTTAGATCTCAAAGAAGATCCCTCATTCTTAGAGACTGACGATTTCAATTTGGAAAGGGAACAATTATCTTCATCTAACATCTCAGGTAAGTTTTCATCATTAGTAGTTTCTGGAAAATAAATTACAAGGAAAGGCATAAGGGACAGTCCTATTGCTAAATACTGCAGTTAAGTTCCAGTATAATAATTAAAAGTACAAACCAGCCTGTGCAGACTCTTCCTGTAATAATTGACGGACAGGAGTTGTATCTTTCTTTGATGATGTAGAAAAAAACTTCAAAATGGCAGAAGATTTTTGCTTAGACTTAGCTAAATTTTTTGTTTTAGCACTATCAAGTAACTTTTTGAGGTTTGAAGGCAGAGTTGAGCTGGGTTCCGGAATAATATGACTTCCCACAGGTTTCTTATTTTTTCTCGGTCCTTCATCTGAATCCGAATCTGATGGAATTAGGCGTTTAGGCGGCTTTCTGTCGCGTGGTTTGGTGTAGTCTGTATCAACATCTGTTGCAACAATTGTGTCCTCCTTCACGGCCTTGTTTCTAGCTTTTAGGGCAACATTGAAAGTAGCTATATGCAGGGACCACAAAATAGATTAAATTAAGAAAACAAACTTGCATTATAAAAAAACGGATATAAACACCTACAATAACTGTGATGGTATATAATGCGGAGGAGTTTCCACTCGGACGAGTCATAGTCCGCTAGACTCATCACCAACTTCGTACATTTCCCCCTCATGGAATGTGGCGGATAATAACAAAATTCTCTATCCTCGCTAATCCACTTGGTTGGTACAACTTCCACAAGGTATTCCTCTTCATCATTCCCAGGGTCAGACACAAACTCTACCACAGAATACTGTAAAAAATAAATTTTAAGTTAACATAAAGAAAGACAAACAAAAGCAAGGGTACAAATTAAAAACAAGATCTAACCAAAAATTTACTGAGGACCACTGTGAAGGAGAGGAATGCAAAGAAAACTGTCTCCTTCAGGGATAATAACACATTTTTGAAAAAAATCCTGCAACTTACATGTGCTTTTTACAGGATCCACATGTGATACTTTAAAAATTCCAATGGATGAAGAAGGAAGTGGGTAGTCATAGTAATCTGCTTTACAAAGAAACTTATGACCTGATAATAATACATCACCATTTGGTGAAACTACAACTTCGGTTAAAATAAATATGTTTCCGTCTTTTGATGAGAAACAGCAATTAGCTTCATCAGTTTTAAGAGTTACACTCTTCAAATTTATTTGTGCATAACGGTCTCCAGGAATTTCTGGAACAATATTCCTAAACAACTGCTTCTTTAATGTAACTCTATTAGGATTTGGCCTCCTTGACTCTGTAATAAGTTGCCCCTCTGTCTCAATGTCTCTGTTAGCTAACTGCTGAAGAGGCTTATAAGTTGAACGCAAGTTATGTTTAATCACAGCCATAAAAGACTCGTACTTAAAGGCACTAAAATCCAAAATTGTCCCATTTTCCCGGCATTCATCAGACATGTGACTCAGACAATGTACATTGTATACCACAAATGATTCATCAAAAACATCTATGGAATGCCTGATAAACTCACGATATATATTGTCAGCAATAACAATCCAATGATTGCTTTTGACAAATTCAGGGGATGACAGAATATAAGATGCAGAATGAATTAATAGAAAGTTCTTGTAAGTATTTTCATGAATCCTGTATCGAAAAATGCGCACTTCATCATACAAAAGAAGACGCCTCCACTCAGTTGCTTTGAATTTGGCCTGATAATACAAAGATCTCGGTCTACGACTGAATTCCACGGGAATCCAAGGAGCAATGTCAATCATATCAGAACATACATTGAAACATGCTAGCCTTGAAATTTTACCATATGTGATAGCTTGAGATCCACAGAGATATTGAACCCATCTTTTAAAAGCTCCTTCAAATAATAGATGCATTGGATCTAAACGAAACTGTGAAACCATTCCATTGTTGTCACTTCTCATGGCTTCTAGGGGCGAATCTCCATCATGGTGATCAGGCTGATCTTTTCTCCTAAAGGATTCATCTGTGCGCAATGGTGCATTGAGATCCAGAAAGATTTCACGATTTCTAAAACGCGCACCTCTTACTGTGTACTTTTCACATGCATAAGTACTATTGTGGTTTGAAATACATTTTACATATTGTCGTGCTACAGCATCGAGTATGTAATTTCTAATTTTAAAGAAAAAGCGGCTGCCATAAAAATTATAACCATTCAGTGCTAATTCATCAACTTCTTGAATAAAGTCCGCTAAAAAAGCATTAATACTGTCTGGTTTTCCAAGACCATGCCACACACCTATGATAAATGGTACAGTTTCTCCTATAAGGCAACCCAGTATAGGCCAAAAATTATCATCAGTGCTGCTAAATAATGCCAAACCATCAATGTTCACATCAATAATAATTTCTTTGTGTTCAAGCAAGTACTCATCTGTGACCCTTTGATTTAAATTAGTAATGATACCTTTGTACCACATTAAACCTTCACCATTACGTTGCAATTCAACTCTGCGTGGGGTTTGCAGTAAAGTCTTATGAGTCTTCGGTAAAGAGCCATGGAGGAGTCTTAGTCCTGCAAGAAGCTCATCAACTTTCCTATGTGCAACATCCCTTCTTTCAAAAACCCATTCCTTCAAAAACCTTAACAGGTATTTATCAGGATCCTCTGCTGACGGAATGTTATTCTGGTCCTGGATATTGATTGCAAACTCTTCATCTGAATCAACATCAGCGGCTTCAGCCTCCGATTCTTGTTCAAAATTAGCATTGCAATCATTGTGATCATCTAATTCATTATCATCACTGGAAAGGCTGTTTCGACCCTCCTCTACCTCTGAATAAACTGATGAATCATTCCTGTCTAAATGTTGATTATGGTCCTCTAGCTCAAAAACTTCTAATGCATTATTAACTTGTGCCAAAATCTGTCTCACTTCTTCGGTATGAAGACGCTTCCTGACTGCTTTTACAGATGCAGCATGCAATTTGCGTTTCATACTTTACTTTACAATAAATTGGACTAAAAAGGCCAATCAACGGCCACTCAGGGAACAATGAAGGTCAGCGAAACCCGCGTAGGTTGTCTTATATCGCGTCGATATTTCCTGATATCTGGTCCGGAGAAAGGAAAAGAACTTGATGGGGAATGCAAAAGAATTTCAACTGATCGTAGAATGTGGAGGAGACATACGACTAAAAAGGCCAATACCTGAATGATAAAATATTATAGCCAGCAAAGTTATTGCGGTAATTATTTAGAATAACAAACCACCCTTTGGGACTTCCGGGATTGAGTAAGTAGAGAGAGGCACGCCTGTCAAACGGTCAGTGTTTTTTCGAGCTCATCTGCCGTTCCTTCGCCGTGGGGCGACTTTGTTTCAGGTAGTTTGCATTCTCAAATATGCAGGACTGACTGCAGATATAAGTCAGCAGTGAGGGAGTCGAACTACGGACGAATTCGAGGATTCTGTGCGGCTGCGACAATTTGGAGGTTAAGGGTAGAGGCGGAAACAGGCACGGAGAAACCGGAGTCGGAGCAGCACGAAAGCAGGTCGATAAAGAAGAGAGTGACAGGAGGAAAGAAGTGCCGAAGGGATAAGAAGCGAGAAAAGAATTCGGATGGACGAGAAGAAGGAGGAGGACAAGAAAATAGATATTAATCTTAAGAAAAGCGAGAAAGAAAAGAGGACGATAGAAAAAGGTACGGGAGGCAGGCCCACGAGGGCGGAGGAGCTGTCAAAAATAAGGAATAGGACAGGAAGCCAAGGATCAATTACAGAATACGTAAGGAAAAGAGGAAGGGAAGAAGAAAAAGAAATAGCAGAAAAAGCGGAAAAGGAAATTTTGGAAAATTTCAGCAAAGAAAAAAGGGTGATAAGATCGCCGCCAAACAAGGTTAAAAGAGAGGAAAAGAAAGAAGGAGCGCATGAGAGGAAAAGAAAGAAGGATGCGCATGTGGCCGCAGGGCACGTTCAGTGTTGCTACATGTCGTCGGTATGACAGAAATCATAACCTGATTCCTGTCAACTTTAACGATTAATATCTCGCGTCGCGGGGCAGAGCGACACTTTTTTCTGCCAGATTCGGTCGTTTCGTGCAAAAACGCGTCGAATGAGCCTAAATTCATCGTTTTTTGTGCTGCTGTAGCTAAACTGAAGAATTACCAGAAGGAGATATGGATGTGGAAATGCTGAAAGAGATTTTAGTGAAAATGGATGATCAAGAGAGAGAAAGAAAGAAGGATAAAGAAGAGTTAATGAAAAAGATACACAACCTGTGTGAGGATTACAGAAAGAGAGAACTGCTTTGGGAAAAGCAGAAAGCGAGTTTAGAAAATAGAATAAAACAGCTGGAGGAGAAAGTGGAGAACAGGGGAGGTGAAAAGGTAGAGAGCACTGAACTAATAAAGAAGATGAAGGAGATGGAAAGAAACGCTGAATTAGCCGAAAGGAGAAGAAGAAAAAACAACATAATCATAAAAGGAATGAAAGTAGAAAATGGAGGAGAAAGAAAAGAGAAGATGGAGAAATTTCTTGAAGAAGTCACTAAAAAGAAGGTGGAAGTAGACGAAGTGCAGGCAATTGGCCGAGGAGAATACAAAATGACGCTAGTAAGATTCAATAGATGAGAAGATAAAAAAGAAATAATGGCAAAGAGGAGGGAGATAGGAAAGGCAAGAAACATATTTATGGATGACGATCTGACGGCAACAGAGAGGCAGATACAAAAACAGCTATGGAGTATGGTAAAAGCAGAGAGAGAAAAGGGGAAGAAAGCAACGGTAGGATATCAAAGAATATGGATAGACAATTGCGAATGGAAATGGAATGAAAGAACCGAAATGCTGGAAAGTAGAGATGCTTTTCGGAAAGAGTAGAGAATAGAGAGGATAGGGAGAGGGAGAGAGAGGGAGTGAGAGAGGAGGGAGAAGAAGAAAATAAGGTGGAGAAAGAAAGAAAGAGGGTTAAGGATATGCTTTTGGAACGTGGCGGGACTGGCTAATAAATGTGAGGAAACATGGGACTATTTGGAGAATTTTGACGTGATAGGACTAGTTGAAACATGGATGGAAGAAGACAAATGGAGGAAGATTAAAAATAAATTGTCCGATAAATTCATTTGGAATTGTGTACCAGCGAAAAAGGAGCACAGGAAAGGAAGAGCAAAGGGAGGGATAATAACAGCAGTCAACAAGAATTTGAAACTTATAGAGGTTAGGGAGATTAGCGACAAAGTGGTAGAAAGCAGATTAGAGTATAATGGAAACAAATGGAGAATAATCACGCTGTACAGCCAAAAGATGGAGGATACGATGGAAACACTAAGGGAGAGGATACAAGAAGAAGATGAAGAATGGTTGCTAGTAGGAGGTGATTTCAACGCGAGGACGGGAAGCGGAGGAGGACCGATAAATGAGGAGGAAGAGAAAGAAAAGAGAAGTGAGACCAGAAAGTCGGTAGATAAAGTTGTAAATAGAGAAGGACGTATATTAATAGATAAAATAGAAGAGAGAGAATGGGCTATATTAAATGGGAGTTTCGGAAGGGAAGGGGGATGGACGTATATAGGAGAATTGGGATCATCGGTTATAGACTATATCTTAGGGAATGACAGAGCAGGAGAAGAAATTAGTATGGTTGAAGAAGGAGTTAGAACGGAATCGGATCACGTCCCGCTGGAGGTGGAGTTGACTGGACCACGAGTGTTGGAGACGGGGAGAAAGGAGAAAGAAATGGAATTAGAGAGAAGCGACTGGACAGAAGAAGGGAGGAAAGAATATCATGAGAAATGTGAAGGATGGTCGAGCACACAAATAGATACAGAAGACATCTGGAGGGAGATGAAAGAGAAAGTAAAGAGCGCTATCACGAAGCATAAGAAAAGGATAATACCATGGAGATTAGGAAGAAAAGAATGGTATAATAAAGAATGGAAGGAAAGGAAAAGGAGATTGAGGAGATTGATGAGGGACTGGAAGAAGGGAAGGATCGGAAAAAAAGAATATGTGAGAGAAAGAAAGGAGCGCAAGGAATGGTGTAAGGAGCAGAAGAGGAGGCACGAAAGGGAGGAAGAAGAAAAGTTAAGGAACATTAAAAATGAAGCGGAAGCGTGGAAGTATATAAATAAATACAGGAAAAAGAAAACTGAGGAGATAAGCGAGGAGATAAAAATGGATGAGTGGAGAGACCACTTCATGGAAATGTTAGAAGGGACAAAGGAAAGAGTGGTGTTAGACATTGAAGAGGAGGAAGAAGATGGCACGAGAGGGGAGGCAACAGAGGGAGCCGAAGAAATATCGAGGGAAGAGGTGATTGAAGTAATAAAGAAACTGAAGATGGGAAAGGCAACAGGAGAGGACGGGATTGAGAACGAGGCGTGGAGATATATGCAAAAAGATGTAGGTGAAGAGTTCCTGAAGCTAATTAACAGAATATGGAAAGGAGAGGGTATACCGGGAGATTGGAATAAAGGCATGATTAGTCCAATATATAAAAAAGGAGAGAGAAACGACCCAAAAAATTACCAAGGAGTTACTTTAATGAATACGGCGTACAAGATATATGCAAGTATCTTAAATGTGAGGCTGGAGAAGGAGATGGAGGCCAAGTTAAGGGAAGTGCAATTCGGGTTTAGAAGGAATAGAGGAACGATGGATGCAGTATACACAGTAAACTATGTAGCGAATAAGGAGCTGAGTAAGAAAAGTGGAAAGGTTTTTGCATTCTTTGCTGATCTTAAGGCAGCTTTCGATAAAGTAGATAGAAGGAAATTGAATAAAATTATGAGGAAGATAGGAATTGAAGATAATTTGAGACGAAGAATAATGGAGACATACAAAGAAACGAAAAATGTAGTGAAGATAAGAGATAAAAAGACAGAGGAATTTTGGACAGGAAAGGGACTAAGACAAAGATGCCCGTTGAGCCCGAACCTATTCAACCTATACATCATGGATTTAGAGGAAGGAATGGAAAAAGGACAAGCAGGAGGCCTGGTGATAGGGAAAGAAAAATTCTGGACAATATCATACGCAGATGATATAGTGTTAATGGCGACGAGAGAGGAAGAATTGAAGGAAATGATGAGGAGGCTCAAGAGGTATTTGGAAGGGAAGGGTTTGAGTTTGAGTCCAGAGAAATCAAAGATAATGGTGTTCGAGAAAGCTAGGGGGAGAAGGAAGAAAAGAGAATGGAAATGGGGAGGAGAAAACATAGAGGAGGTCAAAGAAATAAAGTATCTGGGATATATTCTACAGAAGAATGGGGGAGCGGAGAATCATATAAAGGATAGGATGAAGAAGGCTACAATAGCGATGAAGAGGACATGGAGCATTGGAGAGAGAATATTTAAAGAAGATTTTGAAAGAAGGATGAAAATGTTCGAGGCACTGGTAGAAAGCGTGGCATTATACGGAGCTGAAATATGGGGGTGGCTATATGAAAGCAGATTAGATGTGATAAAAAGAAAGTATGTTAAATGGATTTTAGGATTGAATAGTAGAACCCCAAATTATGTAATAGCAGAAGAAACCAAAATAAAGGAAATAAAAGTAAGGGCAATAAGGAGAGCTGTGAGGTATGAGGAGAAGGCGAGACAGTCGGGAAAGAAAATAGTTCAAGCATGTATAAAAGATCTAGAGAGGAGCAGACCAAGGAAAGAAGAAAGTAAGTGGGAGAAAAAGAGAAGAGAACTGATAGAGAGGGCAGGAATGGAGAAGGAGCAGCTAAAGAGAGAAATGGAGGCGGGAGACCGAGAGGCGGTGGGGAATCTTGTAAAGAGAATAGAGGAAAAGGAGAAGGAGGAGAGACAGATAAAGATAAACGAGTCAAAGTTCAATAGTAGCTATAAAGAGATCTTAACAGAGGGGTTACCAAAGTATCTACTAGGAAAGAAGAAGAAAAAGGATAGAATGCTGATAGCCAGATACAGATGCGGAAGTGAGGTGAAAGGCAGTCAACACTGGAGAGAGGAGGAAGATAGAAGGTGCAGAATATGCCAAAAAGAAGAGGAGAACATAGAGCATATACTAAAAGAATGTGAAGCGACAAAAAGCGAGATACAGTTAAAATAATTTTTAGGAGAGGAAGGAAAAGGACTAGAAGTAATGAAAAGGATAGAAAGAGTTAGAAAAGAAGCGGAGGAAAGGGAAGGGATGGAGGGTGAAGAGTAGGAAGGGAAATTGAAAGACAGTTAGAATGTTGAATTAGTATTAGAGTTAGTTAAAATGATCTAAGTGATGTATAATATATATGTATGTTAAAGAGAAAGTTATATGTTTGCAAATTATGTGTATGTTTGTAAATTTATGTAAGAGTTGATGGAAGTCATCCTAAGCCGCAAGGCAAGGATTAAATAAAATTATTATATTAACAAACCACCCTTTGATGACCTTGACCTTGACATATATTGTCAAGCTCATGACCTTGAATAACAATCAAAAGATTTTAGCCGACGGCCGTTGTTCGTTAAAAAGTTATTAACAAAAAAAGTTTGAAGAATATAGCAGTTACTTTGAGTATTGAAAGGCATCAATAACTATATAAATGGAAATAATACATGTATGAACAAAGGAGTCATTTAAAGCAGCGAATCGTTAGTATATTGAACAATCTTTGTTAAAACAGAGAATAATTGGTATAGAAAAGTATATATACAATTTTATGTGTTAGAAAGCATAAATATAAAGTATTCTCTGCTTTATCCATAATTGTATTATTGTAATTGTAAACTATCTTTAATTGTGCAATTATTATCACACAATTATGGTTAAAGCAGAGAATACTTTATATTTATGCTTTCTAACAGATAAAATTGTATATATACTTTTCTATACCAACTATTATCTGCTTTAACAAAGACTGTTCAATATATACTAACGAATCGCTGCTTTAAATGACTTCCTTCGTTCATTATACATATGTACTATTTTCATATACATATTAGTTATTTATGCCTTTCAATACTCAAAATAACTGCATGGCTATATTCTTCAAACTTTTTTGGCTAATAACTTTTTAACGAACAACGGTTGACGGCTAAAGCCTTTTGATTGGTGTTCAGGGTCATGACCTTGACAATATATGTCAAAGTCAAGGTCATCAAAAAGTGGTCCGTTATTTTAAATAATTACCGTTATTGCAAAATAGTCCACAAAGATAACATCGCAACAGCATGATAACACAACACATGTACGAAAGGGAAACGATTCGAATCATCTAGGTAGGATAGAAAATTCCTTTCCACTCTTTAGCTTCATTTTCTTGTTCTCTACAGGACTTTTCTAATGTCAAACTGTGCAGTGCAGATCATGTTGTCCTCCCTATAACTTTATAAATTAAAGAGTGAGCTTAGATGGGCCGGCACATTACGCCAAAGTAAACAGCTGTATTCTACATCTAAGTGTTGTAAATACATAAAAATCCGTAAAATCTAAAACGAATACAATAAGAAAAATCTTAAAAAATACTAAAAGCTCGAATTACACAACCCTCTAATATAACCTCATTATAACTATCCAACAGAACTTTAAGAATCGAGGGTCTAATTATTATATAGTTAGCAATTATACATACCTTCTTTAACAGAGTCGACATTTCCTTATACTTCTAGGCAAACCACGTCGAACGTTCACAACCCTTACAAAAAAGTATTACTGACTAAATACTTAAAATCTCAGTGATTTAATACTGTCAATATTTATTTGGGAAATACTGGGAAAATACTGGTAGTGATAAATATTATAGGTAGTGATTAATACTACACAGAACTACTGGTGCTTAGTATTGAATTACTCACCAATATTTCGATTTCCGATATTTACGCGGCATAAAAAAAAAATTTTTTTTTTTTCGAAATTTTATTACTATTTTATAACTAAATTTGTTTCTTAAGATGCAGTTTATAATTATAAATATTTTCTCGTATTTAAAAAACACTTACCTTGGTGGGATCGAACTCGGGACCTCTGGATCGTGAGCCAACTGCCTTACGTGGTAGACTACTTCTTAATTTGATGTAAGTGCATCATAACATGTGTCATATAACCAGCGCAAATATATTTAATTTTTCAAAAATCATCTTAAGAAACAAATTCAGTTTAAAAAAAGTAATAAAATTTTGAATTAAATATTAAAATGATATCCTCAGTACTATTTCAAAACTTGTACATTTTTATCACGACGAATTAGTACAGACCTTCATATAAAATGTATTTATGCCTTACTTTTATCTCTTTTCCTTAATATCAGGAATTACCCATTATAATGTTTCTATACAAATTGTAGTACTGGTCAGTAATTAATTTTACATGGAATATTCAGTTCAGTACTTGAGTATTAATATTAAAATACTGGCCAGTGATTTATTACACATGGAATCCTTGGTTCAGTACTTCAGTACTAACATTGAAATACTCATCAGTAATTCAACAAGTATTTATTACACAAGTATTTTTCACCTAGTATTAAATGCTTTCTCATTAGAAATTTAATACTAAGTATTCAATACTCGTCCTGTATTAAATACTACTTTCATAAATTACTGACCAGTAATAAAATACTATGCAATATTTGGATCACAGTGATTCAAGTACTAATAAATACCTAATTTTAGCATTATTAATACACAAAATAAGTATTTATTACTAACCAGCTAGTAATACTTTTTTGTAAGGGAACACAAAACTGGCAGCGAAAACGCGGGTAATCCGTTCTCTTCTAGATCCTTCTCTTCTGAAATTCTCACGATCTTACTCTGAAGCTCCTCGAGTGACTCTCGATCTCGATGTTATTCGATACCTTCAATATATCGATACATATATATCGATGGCGTCACAATGATGTCATTTTGACGTCACTGCAAGGAGCCTTGATGAAAAATTGACCATTTAAAGTCAAAATGACATCATTTTGACGTTTTTGTGACTTTTTGTTCTCCTTATTGTACATATGATGATATATGTTCGTGTATCAGGCTAAGACAGCAAGGCCCAGAAATTAGGATGCACACACATAAATGCATTCCCAGTAATGTCATATTGCACACCATATTTCGCAAATCTAAACGTGAGTCTCGCGACAGGTAAACCGAAAGATCGACATCGGCCAGTCATCACGAATATTGCGCAAAGATATCTCCGCACGGAGGAGACGCTTGTCACTGTCATTATTAATAACAAAGTCCGATAGTTTTGGAATGTACACGTAATGATGCACTCAAAGTGATAACACATTGCGCGGCGTAATTTCCCAGGTCTAGATGGAAGATCATCCCGACGCGAAAGATGACCGTCATTGTCACAGCCGCGAGCAAAAAACCGTATCACTATATCGAGTGAGCATAAGAATTCTGTCTCCAATTGATGTCGCGTCATGCTTCATTACGCGAAAGACGCGAGAGACGCGAGAAGTACTGGAATCGGCCATTTTAATTTCTAAAACCACCGGAATAAGACACAGGGTACTTCATGGACGGCCATTAATGAAAGATCTCAAACGCCCTTATAATGAGACACGAGGCGTGCGAAAAACCGGCCATTTTCGTAATCGACGAGCAAGCCGTCGAAAAGACAATTGTGTGCAAACCATGTTGTAATAATATCTCTTCCCTTGCACCAATATAGAAATGGACGAGCAGGCAGACACATGTTTCACTCCGGAATGACAAATAACTCACCATAAAGTGAGCATAATATAAATTGAACAGTCCGGGGGCATTACAGCCGAACATATGTATCGTCCTTCCTTCCTTCAACTATTCTCCTTTCTCATGTCAAAGGCGGCCATCTTCTCGTATAGGGTGTGGCCCAAGGAATGATTTGTTGAAAATTATGTTAAATAGTATGAAATCACGTATAATATGTACAAGGTTCGATGCACAAGATCCAGATTGAATGTGTCAATAACCGATCTTAAGCGATATCTTAAGGATTCGCAATATTTCTCGATTCATAAAGTCACCGATCGCCATGTGGCACACAAGTCTCTCGCGAAAACGCACAGCCATTTCGTATAAAAGTTAAAAATGTTAATATCTAATTAATCCGAATAATGCCAGTAATAATATGCATATGGATCAGCTCGTCATCGCAGCGCGAATCGCCACATATCAAAAACTCACAAAAATTCTCAGTATGAAAATCACTAATGTCCCACTTATACGGAGCGATGTGAAGAGTGTCCGTCCTCCTTAAAGCCTTGGCTCAGACCCAACCTAACCTAACCTAACCTAACCTAACCTAACCTTGCAGCCGCACGCATCACCGGAGACGACTAGGGCACCAACAGCAACGGTCCCGAGATGGACGAGGCGGAGCCACGTCCAAATTAGTATTAAGTACAGCGTTCGCGTCCCGAGGATGGGGTCACCGGCAGCAGCCGTTATCGATTTTGTTTGTTTATTCTGACGACTTAGGAGGAAGGAGAGTGACCACATCCGGCGCATGAGTAGGCATAAGGTTGTTTAATTTTCAGTTACACAGTTCCGAGTCCAATCCCGAAGGTGCGGATACAGCAGTTCGTGCGGCGGTGCGACAGGGCTTGAGCCCGCTCACACTTGCGAGACAGGGGAAGCGCTCGCGCGAATGATCGGGACGCTTTCGGAGAATATGACGTACGAGCCGTGACGACCCACGGGGCGGAAAGACGACGTCTAGCGAAATGGACGAACCGTCCGTAATTCTAGTAATTAAGCGACACGCGCGTCAAAGAAACAGTTATGATCGTCAAGGTAGATCCGCGAAGTGCGACACGCGGGTCGGAATCGAAATCTGGCCAGAGATAAAAAAGATGGCGGACCGTCGGGAAACTTTTGAACCGACGGCACGGCGGTAAAAGAATACGTCCCTGATTAACGGGGAGGTCCCTAAGAACGTCCATATCCGATCGCCGGCAAAATCCAACAACCAGCGACAGAGTTACAGAACCGTCCGCCATCTCGCGACCAGGACATCTTCCGCGGGAAAGAGCCGCGGAAGGCATTGTACCAGGTACGGATTAGGTGTCAGGAGGGGTCGGTGTCGTCGGCAGGCCCGGAGGAACAACGCGATATGACCACCGGGAGGTCAAGTAGGTAACCGAGCGTCATCCGCGGGGAAAGACCAGCGGGTCACGCGGAATAAGACCCGGTACACTCGGGGAACGGGTCGCCGCCAATGTCCGATCGCCCGGACGCGAGATACGGCGACATGTCGCCGGAACTCGGGAACCGGACGTTGTCCACGGGGAACGAGCCCGGAATCGGGCTAAGAGGGACCGCCGAAGGGGGACCAGGGGGTCGCCGTCAACGGCGGAGGTCGCGATCGCGACGCAGACATCTTCTTCGAGGAGTCGACCCGGGGTCGCGTAGAGGGACAAAGGAGAAGTCGTGCGCACGGGTCGGCGTCGTCGTGGGTGGATAAATGTAAGAGTTGAAAAACCACTACCCGGGGTCCGTCTCCGGACGTCGAGTGGAGGGTACTCTGAATGGAAATTTCCACCGCGGACATAGGGTTCAGCGGGGAGCGGGCAACGTATATTGTAACTGCGTAGCGGCGAACATCTGGCGCACACCTGTCGACCCGAAAGTCGTAAACAACCATTGTTAACGCGGCGAGCGAAAAATTACCGCGAGGAGAAAGCGACCGAATACCCTGTGGTGGGGGAAAAAGCACCGTAGGTAGGGAGCCCGAGAGAGGAAGATTGCTCGAGGCAGTCTGTCGGGGATGTTCGAGCGTGTAACACGTAATCAACTTCGCTCTGTTTCGTCGCGCTAAGTCACCGCGATCGTCATACAAGTGCTATAATTACGGCTCGCCAACATTCGTAACAACCGGCACCGTCCGCGGAACGCGTTAATTGTCGTCTTTACAAAGACGAACGGCCTTTTTAGACCGAAATAAGATCGTGCGTCGTAGATAAACGGGGCGTATGTGCCCACGTATCCGAACGTCCGACATCTTATGTGACTTAAAGTTTTGTGAACAACCAACACTGGAAATCAATAGAATTGAATAAATTAAACATCCTTTTCGTAAAAGATTTCGAAAATTTATTACATTGGACTTACCTTCTACTTACCTGATCCATTGGCGTCGATCACTCGAAGTCCCTCGTTGATCCTGGATTCCGGTGGCAGCGGCGATCCTGATCGATGACGGCGATGATCCGTGGTGGCAGGAAGCTGAAAAAAGAAGAGAATTAGTCCAATTGATAGTTCGAGATATCGTTCGATACTTACCTTCTCGGTGGTTCAAAGGTCAAACCGAGTGGCAACCGTTGATTTCTAAGGACACGTAGCGTTGATTCGTGCATCCAGTAGTACCGTCCGGTTACAACCTAACCTAATAACCTTGACAATATATATCAAGGTCACTGAAATCGGTTTCAATTCACTGCATTAACAAAAAGATTTCAATTTATCAACAATTTACTGCTTTAAATGTTGTATTTTGGTAAAGCAGCGACTTTCTCGCGAAATAAAGTATTCTCTGCTTAAAAAAAAAAAAAAAAAAAAAAAAGTTTATGTTAGTCGTTTATGCCTTCCAAAACTCAAAATAGCTACTATACTTTTCAAACTTTTTTTGTTTATAACTTTTTAATAAACAATGACCGACGGCTAAAACCTTTTGAAGGTCACTCAGTAGGGTGACCTTCACAACATATGTCAAGGTCAAGGTCATCGGAGAGGACGTCGCTATTATGCATAATTACCCTATTTCAATTTGCGGAGTATCTAAATGTTATCAATTTTATCAAATGTATGAATAATTTGCTTTTGCTGAACTAGTTAAATTTTTAATTTAAGACTTACATAGGTCGACGTCCAGAGAAATTTAAAATCATATCTATTAACGTAGCTGGCAAGATATGCAATAACATCGTCAATAAGTAGAACAGAGTAAAATTATCAATATATGTTACGCTAGGAATCCAGACAATTCCTTCCAAAGGCACTTCATCTGCAACCTCAAGACCAATTAACGTAATACTTTGGTATGTCATAAGTTTCTGGCTTGTACAGTTTGAGACAAAAATGGAACCTGCTGAAAAGCTAAAAGTAAATAAGAATAAAGTTAATTAATAAATAAAATGTAAACAATAACAGGTTAATAATAATTTGCACAAAGTTACGTAAGATCTAAATTAACCCAGACAGCACCATGTCCAAAATCGGACATAAGACGTCTTTTAGCCATTCATTTCGAAAGACGTCTAAAAGATGTCTTTTAGATGACTTATGTCCCGATTTTGGACATGCGTGCTGTCTGGGAAGTTTCAGAAACGAGACGAAATTTTGAATTGTGCGATATTCAAAATATTATTAACATATTTCAATATAACACGTTTCGACAAATTATTAATTATATTTATATTTAAAAAATGCAAATATATAATACAATTTTTATTAAATTATTTTAAAAATTCTTAATCTTATTTAATACCAAAAAAGTAGACAAAGGACGATGATAAAACAGACCGATTTCTGACTAAA